GAGCACTGAGATGTCAGATGCTGACATGATCAGGCTAATTTCTAATAACCTGCATAATAATACAATCTCGCTCCCCAAGCTCATGTAATGAAGCTTGGGAAGGGAGGTTGTGAAGAACGGCCCTTTGGGCAAAGCACCAGAAGGCTGCTTGCAAATGCTGACGGTTTTCCAGTCAAAGTCACCACTGGGAGGGTTTCTCTCTGATCAGAAAAATTAACATAAGATTAACCACAGGGAGAACATAGGAATTTCAGCAGCAGGGAATGATTGGATATGAATAACACTAGCTCTAAATCCCCCCCAATCAGTACACATCAGATAGTGGTCTATCTTGCTGAGAACAGTTATTGCTCTTAAGTGATGCTGGAAGTCAATTAATAGATGTAATCTCTGCAACGTTTCTGTTGCCTTTAAGGCTTTCTGGATATGGGGGTGTTTAATCCTGATCTCATTTTTTGATCAGCTGGGCGTCTGACACATGTGGAAACCCATTACCATGCATAAGAGTGTCCAGAGTAGAATTGGAATTCTACATTTGTATGTCACCTTCACATTTACATTTCCCTGTGTCTGGAATGGAATACGCACACTCTCCCTGGAGGGATGCACTCTACTTACTTAATTTGGAAGAGTGTTAGATGCAGGTTGGTGAGAGACAAGGCCTAGGGACCCCTGAATGTGTGTTGGGGTACTGATGGAGTTTAACCAACTAAGGCTACATAGCTTGCAATTGAGAGCACTATCTGGCAAACTTCCCACTGCTTGTTCAGCCAGCAGCATCTTGCTTTGGCTTTGGATTGCAGGGTTAACAACAGCCAAGTAAGAAGAATCTCTGCTCCCCGTGACCAGTTTGCCCCTCCAAGTCCTGGCTTCTTGGTCTGTCAATAACAGTGCCCTGGAGTACTGCAGACCCACCTGGCTCAGAAACCAGACAACCGACATTCCTTTGCCAACACATCACTTTGAAGCCCAGCTCATCCCCCCCCAAAAAAAACAATTACCTCCCTCCTTCTCTTCCTCAAGGAGGATAGGTATTGTGATTTGAGAGCCTGGAAGCTCTTAAATCTATTTTGCTGACCTTGTGAAACACTTTATCTTGAGATGGATTTTGTGAATGTTTTGGGGATCAGGCAGACTCAGTGTCCATCGCCGACACTTTCACTGTAAGGCACCCTGAGATGTCATTACCCCACCATCTGGAACTCCATCCCAGCACCTCTCCTCTTCAACCCTTCCTTTGCCTCCTTCAAGCCCCGTATCAAGACCTTTCTTTTGGACCGTGCTTTCAGTCATCCTCCCATCTATACCTCCCCCCCAAATCGCATGCAAATCTCTCACTATCCAGCACCCTTGGACATCCTCCCAATGTGAAGTGCGCTATATAAATGCAAGTTGTTGTTGCTTTGTTGATACCTGGCGATATTGAACTAGCGGCTTGAAGATAGACTCACTGGCCTCAATGTCATACCAAATCAGTACTAGAGTTTGTTTTCTTATTCTGAGTATTAATTTTTAATGATTACTCAGTCCCCTGGAAGGACAGAAGATGTGCTGTTGACGAACATGCTCAATATGCAGGCTGCAGAGAGAAAATATAAACTTGGATCTCAACAACACTGCTGAGAAATGGAATACTTTTCTTATTTTGCATTGACAAGATCCCAAGAGAGATTCAGATGAAGAAATCTGTTCAGCCTGTTTGATCTCATCCATCCAGAATACCCACACTAGTCTTTTCCCATCGCCGCATCATTATTTTGTAAATGAGTCCATTATCCTGACCTCAACCACCTTTCCTGATAAATTGATCCAGTTGTTGATTGCTCTGTGTATTAAATAAATAGTCCCTAGTATCCGTCCTAAATTTGCTCTTCAACCTTAAAGCTGTTTGCTCATGTCCCCTCTGCCTTGCTGTGTCTGAAAGTATGTTCAGGGGCAGATCACAGAAAATATATAATAATCTTTGCATTTGACATTCTATGCAAGATGTATATGCAAATTTGGAGCTTTGCTTGACTCATTTTGCAAGGACTCCTTGGACATTTCACAGTACTTATCAAATCACTCAATGCTGAAATTGTTATTTCCTTATGTGGGGAACAATAACAGCTTGCATTTATATAGTGCCCGTCATGTAGGAGTCCTGTAGCATACTGATTAGAGCACTCGCCTTGAAAGCGAGAGGACCCGAATTCAATTCCCAGGCAGGGCGAAACCTTAGGCACATTTCCTTACTCCACATGCCTCTGTTTGTGGGACACTGCTGTGCGCAATTGACTGCCGTATTTTGCTTTGACCTTGCCTTGACCGTCAATTCACTTTACGGTATATTCTTTGAGGATCTTTGAGACTTCTCAACAATGTGATTCGGTGCTGTCACAAATGCAAGAATTATTATTATTATGTAGGTAACGTCTTGGCCTCCTCACAAGTCAGCTGTGTGAATCTGGGTCCTCTCGCTTTCAAGGCGAGTGCTCTAATCAGTATATGCTACAGGACTCCTACATGAAGGGCACTATATAAATGCGGAAACATATCACCATGTTTTGGAGTATCCAAAACCAAACTGAGAATTCCATGCATCCCACCTACACATGGAAATTCCAGATATAGATTGTGGGAATAGAATGTGCACTCTCTCCCTGGAGGGATGCATCCTGCTTAGCTAATTCCAGAAAGTATTAGGAGCTTTGCAAGGATGGGGTCGGATGCCGAGTGAGGGAGGAGGTGGAGGAGAAGTGGAAGGTGATCGTAAGCACTGTTAAAGGTTTTTAGGCACATTTTTTGTGAATAATAAATCACAGCAGCTATCGTGCATACAATGGTTTTAAAGCTGCAAAACCCTTTTAAATAAGAATTTATTAAACGGCGTATTTTTGTAAGATTCAGATTAATTACAGAAGAGAAACATTGCAATAATTAGTGCTCTATATTGTATCAGACTTTAGTTACATCAATTTTTCTTCATTTTTTTAAACTCCTTTGAGGCTTCTGACTATCATATACATAATTATCTGACTGAGGCTGCTGGACTAACTGTTCCTAAGACTCTGCCTTGTAAAAGTCACCAGAATGAAAGATATTCCAGAAATTCCCTCTTTGTCTTTCCTGCTCATGCCAAGTGTGGAGGAAACCGCATCACTTCTTGCTGACAATCCTGTTGAGATCAGGGCTAAAAATGTAGAGTCAGCAACACAGCATAATAATACTAATAAATAATAATATTAATATATAATCCTTAGATTTGATAAGCATCTTTCACGTCAGGAGGACACCCCATGATACACTATTAAAGTGCAGTGACTGTGTGTTTTGTGGGCGAATATGGCAGCCAATTTACATACAGCAACAATCCACAAACAGCCATGAAATGCATGACCAATTTTTTATTTGGAGGATTGTTGACCAGGACAGTAGAAACTGCCTTCTCTTTTCGCATAGTGCTATGGGATCTTTAACATCCACCTGAACAGGAAGACGGGCCTCAGTTTAATGTCTCATTTGAAGGACAGCACCTTCAACAATGCAGCAGATCCTTAGAACGGGAATGACAGCCTAGACTATGGGGCTCTAATTAACATTTGATGTGTTATCTAATCTGTTATGAAACATCATTTATATATACAGCTGTTTGTGGGTCATTGTTGTGTACTAATTGGCTGCTATGTCAACCTACAAAATCCACAGTCACTACACTTTACAGTATATCCTGAGATGTCCTTCTGACCTAAAAGTCACTATATCAAAGGCAATGATTATTGTTGTTAATAATAATAGGCACAATACAGTCTGGATACCACACTTTAGGAAGGATGTCAAGGCATTGGAGAGGGTGCAAAGGAAATTTACTAGGATGGTACCAGGAATGAGGGACATCAGTTATCAGAGAGGCTAGAGAAGCTGGGATAATTCTCCTTGGAGCAGAGAAGATTAAGAGGAGACTTAATAGAAGTTTTCAAAATTATGAGGAGAATCGATAGGGTAAACAAGGAGAAACTATTTCCACAGGCAGGTGGGTCGGTAACCCAAGGACACCAATTTATAATAGTTGTTGAAAGAAACAGAGGGGATGTGAGGAGAAATGTTTTCACACAGCGAGTTTTTTGGGGTGTTGGCAGCCAATTCGATAACAATTTTTAAGAGAGAAGTAGATAATTATTTGGGAGGACAAGTTTGTAGGGCTATGGGGAAGAGGAGGGGAGTGGGATTGATTTGTTGCTCTTTTCAAAGAGTCAGCACAGACATGATGGGCCGAATGGCCTCCTTCTGTGCTGTATAATTCTATGATTTTATGATTCTATGAATACAACTCAACCTCTGACATAAAGCATATTTGTTATGATACCCTTGCTATTACATAGGCACAAGCAGCCAATTTGCACCCTTTCTCCTCATTTTATAAAATACTTTTTATGGAAACTCAAGACAACTATACAAAGGTGGGAAGTGGTGTTAATCGCACACAGAATGTGAGGATGCATGCATACATTTCTGTTCAATCACTAGACTGAACTATTATTAGTTTCACCCACAAAATACACAGTCAATCACTTTGCAATATATTCTGTGAAGTGCTTTGAGATGTCTCAATGATAATAATAATAATCCTTACATTTGATATAGCGCCTTGTCACATCTTTGTGACGTCTCAAAGCCCCTCACGGAATGCACTGTAAAATGAATTGACTGTATATTTTGTGGGTGAAATATGATAAGGCGCTATATCAAATGTAAGGATTATTATTATTAGGTATCTATAGATTTGTCCATCTGTGGAAGTCTTATCCCAAATTTTTATTTTGGGTTAATCAAAACAGTAGGTTGAACAATACCTTAATCTAAGCGGTAACTATTTTTCAGCACACACACACACAGACTTTTTTGAAAAAAAACCCTGAAGCGTTCTCAGCGATGTGCAGAAGGGGAGGTGAATGCACTGAGGCTGACGGTGGACTGGCTCCCTTCCATAGATGACGAAAGCTGCTTATCCTCCTGGTTGCCATGGAGTTGAATTGGAGCAGCAGTTGAGGCTGCTAGAGGGAAAATCAGCATCAGGCAGCTGCAGGAGGAAGGCAGCAACACGACCGACCGAGGCAGACATGGACTTGCATTGTGATTGCAATGATACTCCGGCATCCGAGCAGCCATCCGGCAAAATAAACAAGACGGCGTTTAAATTATTCGGGAAGAGAAAATCGGGGAGCACCATCCCTAGCATTTTTGGCGTGAAAAACAAAGGGGATGGGAAAGGCTCGGCTAAAATGGGGCTCGTCAGGAGCAAAACCCACGATGGAATCGCTGACATGGGACTGGAGGCAGGCAACACAGAAGGGTCTTTGAGTAATTACCACCTGGAGACCGATTCGGGTCTGAAAATCGTAAGCAGCGTGAGCTTTGCCTCTGGTGGTTGCGGAACTGTTGCCAAATCTCACAGCTTTTTCTCCCTTCTGAGGAAGAACAGTAAATTAGAAAATGGCAAGAGGGAGGCTAACTCCGAGCAGGTAAGAGACAAGAGTTGCAACAGACAAAAGAAGGGGCTCAAAGGACTGTTCAGCAGCATGCGGTGGCACAAAAAGGAGAAAGTGACTAAAGAGGAAAAAGCAGAGTTCCTGGAAATCCATGGCACCCTTCTGTTGCCTGGATCTCTGACGGCCAGCTTGGAATGTGTTAAAGAAGAAATGCAGAAATCTAGCTCTGAACCTCAAATCGCCACCTCGGAATCGCAAGAGAAATCTTTCGTCCCCTGCGAAATGCGCAGTGGTGGTAAGAGTGTCTCCCAGGCAGAACCTGGACAAGCGGATTGCGGGAAATCCCATCCCGAATTATGTGGCAATGAGGACGGCGAGAGGGATGCCAAGGATGGCCACGCTTCGGGGCAGACTGAAGAGTCTGGCACAGCATCGGAAGTGGAGCAGGTAAATTGGGATGAGGCCTTAAATGGCAAGAGGCAGGACCCACCAGAGGAGAAGGTATCCCCTGCTGAACCTGACCCCAGCAATGCATCCCAAAGTGCTGAGCCCAGCGGCCCTGGCAACGAGCCACCAGCCGAGCAATCGATCGATCGCATTTGTTTAATGTTCTCGGATGTCACGTCTCTGAAGAGCTTTGACTCGCTCACAGGTTGCGGGGACATTATTGCCGACCAGGACGACGAGGGAAATGGCTGTGAACGAGGGGCCGTCGGGGAGAAGGGAAAGAGCGTTGCAAGAAAGAACTCCAATGTCCTGACCTATCAAGGCGGTGGGGAGGAGATGGCAAGTCCAGAGGAGGTGGACGACGAGTATCTGCAGGAATTCTGGGAAACACCACCTCCTACTGCTGAGCCACTAAAGGAAAAGCAGCAACAGATTGGATCTGATCAACCAGCATGGTTGCCTCCTAAAGACACAGTCTGCTTTGCGGAGGGAGCCAACAGTACGTTACCCAAACTGCTCGCACTGAATGAGATTTCTGTGAGCAAGAGTGACAATGATGATTTGAGCAGCACAAAGAATGATCAGCAAGAAGGTGTCCCGAATAGTGATGAGGGGTATTGGGACTCCACCACCCCTGGTCCTGATGATGAGAGTGGGAAGACTCTGGTTACCAGGAATAGCATTCCCCGAGACAGTTACAGTGGGGATGCTCTGTATGATCTTTTTGCAGATCCAGACGAGAGCCTGACAGGTATTGTCTCTGATGAAGAGATGTCCTCTTTGTCGGAGCCCAAAGCACTGCCTCCCAAAACTCTCCTGCCTGTGTTCAATGCCTCTGTGGTCCCCAAGGACAGGAATGTGTCTGCCATCCCCAAGCAGAAGGGCTCGCTGACTGTGTGCCAGGAGAATTCAAACAATACTCCCTTGCCTCACAAGCCTCAACAGTTGGTGGGCTGTGAGCCAACAAGAACCAAAATCCCTGTTGCCAAGACCTCAATTCCTCGACCCACGAACAAAGCCACCACTGGAGCCAATGTAAGAAGTTCGATAGCCTATGGAAGATCAAGGAAATAGCCTCAGAAATGCTACAGTGGCAGGTTTAAAGCAATCATGTTATGGTCCACACCACATATTTGTACAATTAAGCACAATAGGACACGATTCCTCACGCATTGGCACTTGTTCACATTACACCGCAGGACTTTTAGCATTTGTTAACAAGAATCTTATATCACCTAATAGAGATTTGCCTATGAACGGGAAGGAATTGGAAAACCATGTCATGCACATAAATGCAACACATAAAATTTCACGGCTCCCAAATGGGAAAAGACAAAAGAAAAAGTGATATTCAGCCACCTGCAAAAGAGCACAGTGGATGTGATCAGAAAAGGTGGCAGAGAAAATGACACAAAACCCCTTTTGTGTAGGTGTGGGGACCACAAGCTTTAACGCAATCACAACTTTGCTGACTTGCAATAGATTGTGTCGCTGGCTTGATCACAGGTAATCTGCAAAAGTTGCTATCGATTGTCATCAGCACGAACAAGGGCAGTGAAAAAGCTACGCTATGTTTTTGCCTAAAGCCAAGGCTTTACAGAAATCAAACGCTACTGCACTCTCAGTTGTTCATGCTCTGTAGCGGGAGAAGAGAAAAGCAAGATATAAGGTGATTACATAACTATGATCAGGGAATGGTTACATAATCAGGATGCAGCTTGTATCATGATCTTAGTATAAAAAAAAGCTCAAAATGAATGTTGTGGAAAGATGCTCAAAATGCAAGACATTTATTCCCTTGAAGACATTTTTGTTGAAAGATGGAAGGGGCGGGAGTTCTGCCTATCCACTTACTGCCAACGTTCTTGTGATGAGATATCCTGTCAGTTTTTTTTTCTGCAAATGACTTTTGGTTTTGAGTATTTAAATATTTTCTACATAGGAGCGATTTTGAAACTCAGAAAGTGTAGTTACGAATGCAGTCTTGTAAATGACCACAGAGAAATCCCATTGATAATGAGCAAACAAAAGCGTACATTGTTTGGTAAGCCTGATTATTTTCTTCCAGAATCTCAACTACTGTCTATCCTACTGTTAACCCTGTGTAACAGGATGGTATAATGATGAATTCAGTCTCCAGTTTATATATTTAAACTTTTTCTGTAGTGCATCTTCCTTGCACTTGCAACCAGAGCAACTGTGATGGAGAGTTGCTTATAAATAATATTAACAATCATTGCATTCTATGTAATGTTTCATCATGTTGTTGAAATAGCTCAAAGTGTTTCATGGGATTTATTGTAAAATGTAGTGACTGTGTATTTGTAGGCAAACTTAACAGCCAATTTTACGCATGGCAATGTCTCAAAAAACAGAAGTAAATGACTGATTTCATTTGGGGGATTGTCTGCCACGGCGCTGGAAGAAATTTGGGATATTTAACTTCCACCTGAAAAGTCAGACAGGAATTGGTTTATCATATCATTCGAAGGATGGCACCTCCAGCAATGCAGCACTCCCCCAACACTGCACTGGAAGGTCAGCCTACACTGTGAGCTAATGGAGGAATGGGGACAGTATATTAGTTGATATTTGTTGCATAGTCATATGGCTTTTTTTCAAATTTGTACAAAATCTTATTTTAATATTTTTCTCCACATCAGCTACTGTCTCTTGCAAAATTGTAAAACAAAACTGTCAGCAAGCAAGAAAAACCGAGATGCCTGAAATTCTTCATGGGGTCAGCCTTACAATTTAACATCATGCAAAATTTTGCAACATTTTTAAATCCAGTATTGGTTTAGGCTACACAAACCGATCAGCCCCCATCCTCGCCCTGCTCCACTGGATCCCCCTCTCCCCGTGGATTGAGTTCAAGATCCTCGTCCTACCCTTTAAATCCCTCCATGGTTTTGCCCCACTATACCTCTGCAACCTCAAACCTTACAAAGCTGGCCGCTCTCTTCTCTCAGTAGGGACTGGCCTGACTGCTTTGGATCACCTGCCCCACCATTGGCGGTTGGGCTTTAAGAGTATCTGCCCCTACTCTCTGGAACTCTATCCCGGAGTACCTTTGACTTTCCTCTTCCCCTGTCTCCTTCAAGGTCCACCTCAAAATGGGTGCAAACCCTGGACTATCCAGCCCTTGCAGTGTTCTCCTGATGTTAAAGGCACTGTATAAATGTACATTTGTATTATATTTTAGAAGGTGGTTTTCTAGAGGGCTTAAAAAGAACTATAACAATCATATGTTGAAACTTGCAAAAATAATTCCTATCTAAAGATCCCACTGGGAATGGAAAAGTGCTCTTCAAAAAAGGAGTAACGTAAAAGATGGCTCATCACACTGTTAAAGAAAAAGCGCCTCAGAATGTAAAGTTTGTCCCCTTTAGGAAACGCACATTCATTCAATTTTATAGTATATCCTGTGAAGCATTTGGGACATCCTTCTGATGTGAAAAGCTCTATACCAAATGTAAGGATTACTATTATTATTATTAACTCTGTATATCACGTTGGCTCTCCAGGACTCTGCTCCAAGATGGTCACAATCTGTAACCAACCATTGAACATATGATCTTGAGAATAATCAAAAGAAAAGGAAATTTTTCCCCTTGACCTGGCCAACAACACCACCGATAAAATTTCTCATTCACTTCATGACAGTTTGTGGGACATTGCTACGTGCAAAATGGCTGCTGTATTGGATTGCAAACACACTCCTTTTCAGAGCAATTAACTGTGAAGTTCTTTGAGACGTTTTGACATTTATAGGCATTAGATCAAATGCAAGGATTTACTGCAGTATTATTACAATGTTATTTCCTGAAGATGCACTTTACATCCTGGGATGCTTGTTCTGGTCTGAGGCACTATTTATGCTGCCGTTTTCCCAACAAATAATTTTTTGACTCCACAGTCAAAGTTGCTACAGTTAGCAGCTTGAACATCAATTCTCCATTAGAAAACTGATGATAGGAAACAGCTATCAACAATAATAATTTATATAACACCTTTCATGTCCAGAGGATGTCTCAAAACATTTCCCAAAGCTGACTGGGCACCTGAGCTGGGCGTGGGGGAGGGGGGGAAATATCGATGTGTAGATGGAATGAATGGAACTCAGTTTGGTTTGGATACTCTTAAGCTTGATGATGGGTTTCCACATGTGTTAAACTCCCGGCTGACCAAAAAAAAAGTAGGAAAGGAGGGGACAAAGTGAAAAGACTGCAGAATGGAATTACAGAGAATGGGGGCAGAATGACTGAAAGCTTTCCCACTGTGGTGGGGTGTTTCAGGGAGGGGACATGAAGCAGACTGCAGTTAGTTGAGCAGAGGGAGTGTCTAGGTTGGGAGGGTTGCCGAGGTCACGCAGGTAGAGTGGGGCGAGGCTATGGAGAGATTTTAATGGGAGGATGGGGTTGTAGAATTTCCTCCACTGGGGGATATGCAACCAGTGGAGACAAGTAAGAATGCAAAGGTAAATTTATAAAAATAAAATGAAAACAAATTTGGTTCCCCCATAAAATATACAGTCAAACCACTTTACAGTCGATTCTGGGAGGTGCTTTGAGACATCTCAATGACGTGATAAGGTGCTATATCAAATGCAAGGATTATTATTATTATTTCTGAGCACTCAAACCCTATGAAAGAGGTTAATGTAATAAACATGTTTAAAAGAGATTGTTGTGGATTAATCCAACATGATATTGGTTACCAGCTTTGTGAAATCTTATAAAATAGGAATACTGGGAGTAGAGAGGCATTTATTCCACTGTAAAAGTACAAGTGTTGCATTTTTTCCAAGGAGCAGGTCAGCCTAATCTCAAAACGTTCAAATTAAGACAAATCTTGGGTCATTTGGCAAACTGGCTTGAATTGGCACTTTAGGTGGGGTTGCTCTCTGCAAACGCCCCAGCACATTCCTCTCAAACAGAAGTTTGTAGTGCTGAGGATTGATAAAAATAATAATAACTAATAAAAAGAATACAATAATTCTTACATTTAGCTTATCATATTTCATATCTGAAGGATGCACCAAGTTGCTTCACAGAAAGTGGAGTGACTCTATGTTTTGAGGGCGAACACAGCAGTCAATTTGGGTACACCAATGTCCCACAAACAGCCTCAGTAATGACTGAAGGAAGAAGATCTGAATCGAGAAGGCCTTCGAGGAGAGTCCTTGAGAGGAAGCGTAACAGTACACAGAACGTAAAGTGCATCCACCTACTGTTCTGGGTGAATTGTAAATCACAACCTCACTGCTAGGGGCACATCACAGGGGAGGGGGTGTGGTGGAGGATAATTATCCCCAGGCTACTTTTACACATCTCCTAATGGGTCAGCCCAAATGTATAATTTGGTAGGATGCCTGGGAACAATTTACCCCACCCACTGTCATAACTATGGGCTGGAGTGACCTAGAAAGTAAATACAGGGAATTAGATCCTTGTAAAGTGAAGAAAAAAACATCAAGCTGAGAAGCATACATTCTTGGTATTACAACATAATTCAATTTTCATTTATACTGCGTTTTTTCACATCGTGAGGATACCCCAAAGTTCTTGACACTGCTGGCAGGGCACCTGAGTTGGGGGTGGGAGTCGAGAGGGGTGGCGGTATTGAGGTATTCAATCCACTTTACAGGAATATCCTGTGGATCCCGGTCAGGATGGATGTCATGCGTTGTTCAGAGACAAATTAACTTTTGTTGTACTTAATTTATTCATTAGGAGAGAATAAACAGATCTTCAAAGATTCAAAAATAATTGATTTTAGGGTTAGGGTTAGGGTCAATACTTGCTCAGTTTTAGTTTCATAGTCAGTGCAAACCACTTCTGAATGAAGGAACACTTTTGTGCATTTATCATGCTTCTAATTACAATTTCACAGTGCACTCAGAGATCACAGTAAGCTCGCTGATGCCATCCCACTCCATTGTAACGTGGCAAATGTGACTTAACCAGACAAGCAGCTGATCCTATTTGTAGCAGCATCACGTTAGGTGATGTGGAAAACAGATTAGACTGGATTGATGTGAAAAATCATTCTCGATTTGTTGAGAGGTGCAG